AGGGTCAACTGAGAAAGCTGATCAAGTCAGGTCTTCGCCCAGCTGGTCCAACCATTTGCGCAACAGTTGGGTCAGAATATCCTAATCTTCATTGAAGACTTCACAAAAGTTGCGTAAACGAAGAAGGCGTGAGCAAAGCAAAAAACAGCAAAATAAGGTGAGAAAATAGCGCGAAATAGTCGACGAATGGGGACGTGAATGGGGAGTGAGAAGCAGACAAGAGGTAAATGTAAAGATGGTGTAGATGAAAAATGGCGCGAATCAAGTGGGAAGAACGCGTAAAGGGCGCCTGCGCCGAGATCGAGTATAAAGGAAATGCGAATAGAGAGAGGAAACGAGAAAGAAGCGCAATAGAAGCGAAAAGAGGGGTGAAACAGGTAGTAAACGCAAGGAAACGTCAACATCAGTATACGTGTAACCAAAGCGGACCCCTCTAAAAAAGTTAGATACGAAAAAATATCGCAAACACAGAAGATTGAAACACTATTTCAGATATCCTATTCGGTCTACAAATGGGTTAAATTTGCATAAATATTGATTGGTAAATAAACAAGTTAAAAAAAGTCTCTGATGCGCCATCGCATTTTTGATGTGGCAGATCAGTAGGTTTCAGGCCAAGCGATACAAGACTAACTCAATTGTACATATCTAATGCTGAAACGCCGAAGGTTAGAGAGATCTCGATCGATTTATAAAAGGAACCATTTAAGGGAAATTCGTTATCAATTTCAGGAGTGTCTTTCAGCTTTCATACTAAGCGATGCAGGAATAGCACGATAGTACGAATGTAATTCTGAAAACCTGAAAGGTCTACAATATTACTTTGGCGAGATTTTAATCAATTTATAAAAAGTTTAAAAGGCGCCCGAACAGCCGACAGTTAGTGAAAGTCATTTTTGAGAGTCAAAAATGCTCTCTGTGCTAGCTGACTCAAATTGTTGATATATGACATTTCTTAATTTAAATTTAAACGAAATCAGACGCTCCATTCGATGTTACGGTTTCACGGGTAAATGGGACGAGTGCACGATTCGCATTCAAGGGAAAGGCGTGAGGCAAGACCAGCTTAACGGATATGTTTGTGTGGTGTCTAATTAATTAATATTGTTTCAGAAACTCTTCACAAATTAAGTGTCCAAATGTGTTGAAGTTTTCGAAGTAAGTCTGTAGCAAAGCACCCGTTTTCGTATCAGGAATTAAACACGTTTTCATGAACGCCCTTATGGAAACCACCAGCTTTAATGACCACCCAGTATACAGGGTGTCCCAGATCGCGTGGGATTGCATGGGTACCTTTGTTATTATTAAAGATAGAGAATTGGTTAAATGGGCAATGTTTTGCAGTTTTGGATGCTTATTTAAAATTCCCTTATGGAAATTCAAAATGTCGCATAGGTTCGACGTAAATTCAAAAAAACTAAAATTAGTCATTTCCTTGAATGTCTTATATCATCGAAAGTATAAGAGATATAAAAAAAAGTTTTATATAAAAGTGACTGTTTTTGATACGCTTAATTTAGAATTGATGTCAAAAAAAAATTTAAGAAGGCCACTTTTGAGGAACATTTATCAACTTCCTAAAGTTAAATGGGCGCCATATTGGATTTTTAGATTACTTGATAGATTTTTTAATTCTCTTTTCAACGAGCCATCATAACATAAGATTGAAAATAAGATACCCATATTATATTAACGGTTTTTGTATTTTAATCAAGTAGTCTGTGACGAATAAAAAAAAAACAAAACAAAATCTATTCGAGGCAACAAAACAATGAAAATAATTACAACAGATGTTTAAAATACTGGCCATTATTAGTGAAACACACTTCAAGACAGTTTAGTTTAGGCAACGTGTTGCCATTGATGATTATTATTATTATTGTAGTGGTAGCTACTTCCACTTTACTTTTACTTTTTAATTAAGTAATAACTTTTATAATTTAATGTACTGTACATAATTCGTGAATTGTGACCTGAGCAGCCAGCTTGTTGGTAGGTAGCATAATCCAATCCTTTCTTCGAAACATACGTTGTCGAGAAAAATCCTTTAAGGAAGTTTATTGGAGAATTTGTAAATCATGGTGAGCAGTTAAAGATCCAACGAAGATTACCGGTCTAATTACATGACTTCCCATTATGCCATAAAATACATTAATTTAAAAAAATATTACTTGATTTCGGCGTGAAACTACATCATGTAGGTTTTCCTGTGACGAGTTCATTATGTCGATTTGAACACTCCGCAGTTAGAAAAAGATTCATCTGTCCATATACTCGGACTGGTAAAACTGTTAGTTTCGATATTCTTGCGGATAAACCACCTACTGACCTATAAAATGTGACCTGGGACAATGCATCAATGGTAAGATAAAGCAAAGTGTCTTGAAATGTGTTTAACTGGATAATGGCATGACATTTTTTCGAGGGGATAGTTTGTTGTTATACCACCATTTGTAGGTATGTAAGTATGGATAATAAGATAGTCAATAAGTGATGTTATAAAAATCAAAATTTTTCTAGGCCTACTTATATACAATTTTGGAGGGAGTTGTAATGCCCAAACCCCCCTCTCATGAGTGCGCCCCTGATTTTTTAAACATCTGATGTAATTATTTTCATTGTTTTGTTGGCTCGAATAGATTTTGTTTTGTTTTTTTTTAATTCATCACAGCCTACTGGATTAAAATACAAAAACCGTTGATATAACTGGTATCTTATTTTCAATCTTATGTTATGATGGCTCGTTGAAAAGAGAATTAAAAAATCTATTAAGTAATCTAAAAATCTCATATAGCGGCTATTTAACTTTAGAAAGTTGGTAAATGTTCCTCAAAAGTAGCCATCTTGAATTTTTTTTACATCAATTCTAAATTAAGCGTATCAAAGACAGTCACTTTTATATAAAACTTTTTTTATATCTCTTATACTTTCGATGATATAAGACATTCAAGGAAATGACCAATTTTAGTTTTTATGAATTTACGTCGAACCTATGCGACATTTTGAATTTCCATAAGGAAATTTTAAATAAGCATCCAAAACTGCAAAACATTGCCCATTTAACCAATTCTCTATCTTTTATAATAACAAAGTTACCCATGGAATCCCACGCGATCTGGGACACACTGTATATTTGGCGCTTCGTTAGTAAGAAACTGAAGCTTCCAGATTTATTTATTTCTTTTATAGGAATGAGAAATAGAAGATAAAAGTAATGTTTCAATTTTTAGAGTCGTTTTAATCGCTGATAAGGAAAACCAGCTGCCGAATATAATTGGGAAGTTTCTACTTGTCCCTGTAGAGATATGTAAATTATTTTTGTAGCATCCGACCGCCCTCGGCATGGGGATATTTTATGATTTCAGTTAACTTCATTCATTGGCAACCAAGTTTAATTTCCCAATGTTAAGCGAAAACGAGCAAGAACGTGCAGTTTATTTCAATATCGCTCTTTTTCCAAATTTCATGTAACATGGGTATATTTAACTACCAAATTTCAGCCCGGCCATTTAGTTGAGTATAATTAACCGTAAATTAATTGTGTTGCAGAAAACCTCGTCTGATTCATTGTACCTATAGTCAAAAGCGCACTTGATAAATAAAATATAGATCATAGATTTTGCAATATGTCGCAGATTTTTAAGACGCCCGGGTCCTGGAAATTAATTACAGATTGAATTTTTGGACGTTAACACCCGAGTGCACCGGCCCGCTAGAAAATTTATTTTAGTTGTTTCCCTGGACGTAACCGCACGCCGATCCCTGAACTTCGATTGTAAATCTTCTGGTGTCGCCTGGGGAAATCCGTACTGACCACCGAATACTACCGCTTTTTTTTGTAAAGTATTATTACCGTGTTCATAAATTAGATACCATTATAATTTATGTTATTTTGGATTTTACTAATTTTCGTTTATTAAGTTTAGCAGCTGTCAGCGGTTGTGTGTAGAGTTAAGTGCGCCTTAACACAAACCTTTGTACAACGAGATTGTGAGGATTATTAAAAAAGAAAAAAAATTGCGATTTTCATATTTTCTTGTTTTAGTTGTGTAACGCCTGCGTGTGGGGTAATTTGTCCAAGAAGCTTTGAAAGCTTTTAATTTTTCATTTCATGTGTTTTAGAATACATTTTTGTCACTGTCAATCAATTGTGTGATTATTCGAATCCATTGAGCGACCCAGTACCTAGACCATTGCACACAGCAACGTATGTATAGAATATGTTCATATGCAAGAAATATGTGCTTCGTCTGGTCCCGTGGAGCACGGACGATTGGAGTTCTCCTGTATTACAAAATTCTAAGAAGTACCAGTACCTGCATGAATATCCTCTAAAAGTACGTTAGTGGTGCAAGCACATCATCAGTAGATGAGACCTGTGCGCTGAAGAAATGAAAGAACAAGAATAATTCCCAAATTGTGAAGAGGAAATTATAATTTCCACGACCACCTAATCCCAAAGAATTTGATAACCAAGAGCAAAATACCATTTAAGTAAAATTGCAACTAGCACCAGAATTACTCACTTCCAATTACGTTTTTACAGTTTAGATCAGAGTTTCCTTGTTCTTAAAAGAACAGTTTGATAATAGCTCAATTAGTATGAATGTACTCCTAGTAATAAGTACCCACCTGTCTTCACTTCTTTCATGCACTTCATCCACAATAATATGCGAAACAGTAGATAACTCAGGATCACTTTCTAATCGCCTTAGCAGAACACCTGTAGTGCAAAACGTAAGTCGTGTACTCGACGAGATCTTACTCTCCAATCTAATCTGGTACCCGACAGTGTTACCAATCCGTTCTGCTCTCTCATCTGCCACTCTTTCAGCAACTCCTATTGCCGAAATGCGACGAGGTTGAGTACATATGATTTCAATGTGAGTTTTATTGGACTTATAATTATCCAACCAATCATCTAATAAGAACTGAGGAACTTGAGTACTTTTACCACAACCAGTCTCGCCACTAATAACAGTCACGGGTGAAGATTGTACAGTATTTACGATTTCTTTGCGCAAATTCCACGCGGGTAACTTCTTTCGCACCTCCGCCATGCGTTGATAGGAGCTATCATTCATTTTTGTCAAAAATCGATTAAATATTTTCGTGTCTTCGGATAGAATTTCCGCATGGCTGGACTGCTTTTTGTTATCACTGTTTGTGCTACCTTTCTTGTAATATTTATCTGTAACTACCCGTTCTTTGATATCAGAAGTAGGAAATAATTTCTCGGCAGGTAACAAAAACGAAATTTTACTAGTGTTGATGTATTCTGTCATGACATCTTCGTTCTTCAATAATTCAACAATGGAGTAAATACTGGGTATACCGTTTTGAGCTAAATCGTGAGCTTCCTCTGCGAGCCTCTTGCAAATGTGTAAATTCATCAGCTCGGGTAATAAGAAATTTGTCTTTAGAAATAACAAAGGAGGCTCATACGGGTACCTCGACTCCGTGCCGAAACGTATTTCTAATTCAAAAGTATAATCGTCTAAGTGCGGGTTTCGTGGTTCTTCTTGTACTTTATGGAAGTACTTACATTTAGTACCAAATTTACAATGCCCACTTGCGAAATTTCTACACAAATCTTTTCGCCTTTGACTGCCGGAATGCGATTGATTTAAATGCCTTTTAGGGTGAAACTTTGTTACCAAATAGTTTAGATTTAATTTAATAGTCCATACTGCATTTACAATTTTTTCAGTAAATGCAGACTCATATATCGATTCTAAGACGCTCTTTTCGTCACGTCGTTGTTCGATGAGTTCAGATTCTGAGAATTTACTGGTGTGTGGTTGTGAGATGCTCATGTACTTAGTGTACAGTAAATATAAAGCAGACTCTAAATCACCGGAGGTGTAATCTAATGCTTCTGCACAGTGACTTTTGTGAAAGCCATAGCTGGAAAATAATTTTTAAGAAAGCTTCACCTAAATTTATTGTATGATTTATGCAAGTTACTTTTTTTGCAGATCCATCTAGGAATTTATAGATCTATCTACGAATTTATAGATCTCTATGGAAATTTACAGTTCTACCTAGCAATTTACAGACCCTTCTGAGAATTTACAATTCTTACTTGGAATTTACATACCTACCTAAGGTAATAATAATAACACTTTAAAGTGCTTCAATACTTTGACAAACTGAGGGGAAAAACCCTCAGGGAAAAACCCTCAGGGAAAACCATACATGCATACAGTATGGATTTAAGTAATGGGTTATATAGTGTACTTACTTAGTTCCTAGGTTCCATCCAACTTCACACTAGAGTAGAACTAAAATCGTCTCAGCAACGTTTAAAAATGGTCATCTGAAGGGATATTTCCTCCAAAAGCTAATGAGATCCTGTTTAAATTTGAAATTGAAAAATGGCACGTGATCGAACACCTACGAGTTTTGTTAGCAAGATCCCACCCCTGGGACGGGCGAAAAATGCAAGCCTACAGTTGAAATTCGAGATCAATCACAGTCTTAGATGTAGTATCTTTTTTCTTAATTGAAAGATATAGAAAAATGTCCCAAGTTTCTTTATAATGCTTGCTGACGAATGAAAAGTTATCGGACCAAACCTCATTTTTTAAATTTAAATGGGACACCCTGTATATTTTAATCTAAATATAAAACACAGAATAATTAAAAAAGATTCAAAAGGATCCAAAAATATTAGAGATTTAAAAAAATTAAATAAAGGTTCAAATAATTTTAAAAAAATTGAAATTTTTTTTAATCTTTTGAATCAATATTGAATTTTTACTTTAAATTTTTTAATTCTTTTAAAATCTTTTTGAATCTTTTTGTACCAATGTTCAATTTTTTTTAAAATATGAGGGTTCTGTCAATTTAATTCTGAAATTTACCATTTTGTATGTTCATTTCTCTATTACAAAATATAACACACAGGATGAAGTTAAAAAAAGATTAAAATGATTCAAAAAGGATGGGAAGACTAAAACAGATTTAAAAAAATTAAAAATAGGTTCAAAGAATTTAAAAAAATGTCAAAAAGATTTTTGAATTTTTTTTAATGGTTTTTAATCAATATTGAATTTTTTTAGTTTTGAATTTTTAGTTTTTAAAATCTTTTTTTAAGCAACTTTTAAATATTTTGAATGGTCTACCTCTACTCTGTCTACACTCCCCTTTGGTGTGGACAGCATGACATCATAAAGGAAGGTTACCTTCTGACCAATATCTTGTTTCCATTCCCATCCTTAACCTTCCATCCTTACATATCTGTTCTTTAACTGAAGAGGCTCCAAAAAGACTGTGCAATCTGCCTCTGGCTTCCCTGTAGTTAGGAGTGTCAGAAGAATGGAGCACGCTGACCTATTCCTTTTCAGGCAATATAACAAATCACTTGAGGAGTTGTTTTAAACTGTATGAAGGCCTAAAGAGGACTTTGCCTCCTAAAAACGAAAAAAAAAATATCTTGAAAACTGAAGTAGTTTTTTTCCTCTTTCTCCACCCTCAGGGGTTGCTATAAACGGTTATAGAAGTAGTTACAGTGTGACATGTTTTCTTTTAGCGTACATGTGCAGTTGCAGTTGAAGAAAATACCTGATGATATAGACAGACATATGGACGGATAAAGTGTGCACAAACATTGAAATACACTAATAAACAGGAACCTCCACCTCAAAAGTCTCCATCAGCTGAAAAAAGTTTATGCTAATTGCATTGTGTGTTGCCTATCTTCAGTACATAATGTATTTGAAAAAAATTCCCAAAATTGAAATGTGAATACCTAGGCAATAACGCCAGGCAATTAAGTCATTCTGTAGTCTTCACATTATTCAAGCTTTTTAAAAATGTCTACCGTATTGTCTAACTAAACAATCCACCTTCATAAGAATACTCTTTCCCAAACGAAACATTTGCCGATATGAGCATGTTCAAACTCCCCTCATTTTGCTAATTGAAATTACCTACAGGATTGCAAAAATATCACAGTAAATTCTAGAAGAGCTATAAATTCCCTTAAAAGACCTGCTCTCTCACACAAATGAATTACGTCTGTATTCTGTCAGACTGTAAATAATAAAAAGTAACTTGCATAACCTTTCCACGCTTCAGTTCAAATTTAAGAGGTACAAACCTTTCCAATTTCAACAGGGCGAACATTCTTAATTTCTCGTGTTCGCTGTCCGAGTCATTATTTGTATTATAGAATCCGCCCTTGACAACCAAATTATTATGTTGCAAAAACTTATTGGTGAATTTCAAGTCTTCGTCTTTGTACTTTGAAATATCATCCAAAGAGTAGTCCTACAAACACGTAAGGAAAGCGAGTTCGAGCGCAGCTTCATACTTACAGGGCCGTGAATAAACCTCAATGTTTCCATTATCATCTGTTGAGAATTGTCACTTAAGTGTAATACTTTTATTTCTTCTTTAACGTTACTCTTTGGTACCTCTTTCTTACGCTCTTGGCTACGATTTTACAGGAATTATAAAAGGTTAGTTTTGTTTTGTTGTAGTTACCTAATTTTTACATTGGGAATTTCTCGTAGAAAAAAGTCAGATTTTAGTTCAGCTTCTTCGCAATCCATTTTCGAAATGAATTCTAATTAACGCTGCACAAGATTGAGAAATTTTTAAATTGTTTAGTGCATTCGCATCTCACAACCTCAAAGAGATGTCATGTCATTTGAAATCCCCAGACCAAAATTCCAGTTCTGGCAATACCAATGTTGTAAAAAGAACAATTAAAATCCCTATTAATGGAGTACAGGGGCAATGTGAATCATGATTCATGAAGTGATTGTAGTGTACGGTGAGTTGCCTATACTCATTCTGTTCAAAGAAAGAAGCATTTATTGTACACACTAACGTGTATAATCAATGGAAAGAAACCAATAATAGTATATTAAGTATGGAGAACGGTAAGGGATTTTTACCGTTCGAAGACAATTATTGTTTGGAGGAGGAGCGAAGCGACGACTCCAATTATTGTCTGAGAACGGTAACCCTTAACGTTCGACGTGCTTATAACATTTTTTGCGCGATCGAAATTAAAATTATCCAACCAATATAAATATGCACTAAGAAATTAACGAGCAGAATAAATCGAAATGATCGAAGTGGTATGGTGTACATCACTAGGTAACCAGTTTATTTGTCAAAATTGAAATTAATAATTTCATAAAATTGTGCATGTGTCTGATGTAGTTTGCTAGCTTTGCATTTCCTTTATGACTTTATGAGCGTCTTTCTATAGGAAACAACAGCACAAATTGTACGTTTAATGTACCTAACAATAATTAAAGATTAAATGTAATGTAAGACTGTTGATTTTTAAAAAGGCGTCGGTAAGTATTTTTGCTGTTCTGTTTTTAGATCGGTAAGTAATTTGGGCGTCGTCGTAATCATAGCAACTGGTAAATGCTACGTACTGTCATGGAAACACACATGGTAAATAGTCAGAAATGACCGATCGCGCAAAAAGTAAATTGACAGTATATAGGTACAGTATTAACGAAAGATAAACTATTGAAAGCAATTTGCGATGAATATGGACATCACATGTGTTTACTTGTCTATGAAACGCCAATTTGAATTGAAATAGTAACCATATGTAACGAATAACGATTTAAAAGAATAATTGAGCATGAAATAAACATTTTATAAAAATATTATCAAATATCTTATACTGAGCATGTGTCCATGATACACACGAAATACCTAATTTCGTTATTATTATTTGTACATTTTTAATATAAATAAAGATATAAAAGACACTTTCACATTGTCAGTTTTATAGTTCTACAAAATGGCGTAAAGAAACTTACAATACCATACGGATTTTTAACTTTTAAGGTTTCCGAAATCCCCATTTCCATCTTGGCTACAATTAAACCATTTAAATGATATTTTTAAATCAATTTTCATTTCATTATGAAACAGGATGCACCGTGTGAGAATGGTATTGGAGTGGAAGAGGTTGTACGCATACATGGATCTGTTCCCGCATTGGCTATAGGTACTACTGCAAGCAGTATCAAACTAGATTATCTCACAGACACATAGACAATTAGATATACTAAACAAAAAAAGTTAATTAGAGACATCCCTTCTCGTAATGCTTACGCGCCATCCGGCAGCGGACCCGAGATAAGAAAGGAAGAGATACAGAGAAGAATCGAAACTGCATTAGGCGCTTTTTCCACGGTATAGACGATTAACATAATCATGCAGTGCAACACTAGATAATCTCTTCTCTCATGAACGCATAAATAAATTCTTAATAAAAATAAAGGCCTAACACACATTATAACTAAACAATAGACTAGTACCTACACAAAAAATAGCACGCCATATGTTTTAAATAAACAGATGCTTATCAAAATCTAATGCAAAATGTAAATAATATTATAGGGATATGGCTATTCAGTCCGTCAGTCCGAGGGTGGAATCCGCCCCTAACCTAAAAAAAATTCTTCTAACCTCACGCAAAAAAGGTTCCAAATTCTCTTGCCTGGATTCATATTTCCTACCACCTAATTTTGTTACAAGTATGCAGTCAATATATATTATTATTATTATTAAAGCAAGAGAATTTGAAACCTTTTTTGTGTGGGTGTTAAACGAATTTTACGCGCAGATTACCCCTCAAACGGTCGCTAAATGAATGCCAATTTTTTGGATGGTACCTATAAAATATGAATCTTAACGTTTTGACAGACATGAAAATTTGAAAAATTTTTTGCGAGGGGGTTAAACGATTTTTTGTACGTTAATGGCAGATTTCACCCCCTCAGACGGTCGCTAAACGAATCCCAATTTTTTGGGTAGTACAAAATGTGAATACTAACGTTTTGACAAGCATGAAAATTTGAAACCTTTTTTGCGTGTGGTTTAAACCAATATTTTTCTACGTTAAGGGCGGATTTCATCCCTTCAGACGGTCGCTAAATGAATGCCAATTTTCTAGGCTGTAGAAAATTATATAAATAACGTTACGGGAGAATTACACCTTTTAACTGTTGCTAAATGAATAGCTATATATACTGCTAACAATTATAGCCACTGGACGTCGGGCGTCTTCGGCAAGTTAGCTGCTGAAAACTGGCTGCTCTGCACACAGGTGTTTTCGTAGACGTGTTGGATGAATTCAGTTTCACACTAAAGTCCTCAGCAATTAATTTTGAACCAAAATAGCAATTGCCCAATTAGTGCTGCATCTGTTAATTTCGATTAATTGGGTAGCCTCTGACAAAATGGCGTCTGATTGTTGAAAATTTTTTCTTACAATGTTAGTTTTTGATAATATGTTGTACCATTAAAAGAACTTGCCCCCTTAGGTCCTGCGCCCGGGTGCTCTGAACTGAACCCCTTGCGCTCCCGAGTAATGATGATCCTGACATACCGTTGTCTTTTCTGCTTGAACGAAATTCGTAACCAATTAACATGCCAATTGGAATAGATAAGAAGAATGGAAGACTATAGCAGAATTGGTACCTATACAGAAAGAATGAAGACGACAGAATAAGAGGTCCAGGTCGGAGATAATAAAACATGAAGATTATCAGAAGTGTAGGAAGGCCAGAGTAATAGACGGACAAATTTATTTTAAAAAAACACGGTATGGGAAAAAAGTTGTGTAGGTATCATTTTTATTTAGTGTGCATACAACATAAACGACGATAGTCGTAGTAGCAGACCTAATGCATTTTTACAGTCTCCATCTGCTGACTATGTACCTAGTCATTTTCTCCTAATCCTCAGAAATAAGTTTCGCTGAAACTGTTCCTTTACCTATCCTATCTCACTTCTAGAAATTAGATAACGTGCACACGAGTGGAAAACGTAGAGAGTAGCAGTTTTCTTGTTTAGATAGTAAATAGGTAGTAACTATAGGTGCCGAGGTCGAACATCTTTGAAACGCATATTTTTATATTTATTTTGATAATTTGAGACTACTTTGTTTATAAACCTAGAAGACGAAGAACACTTCCCCAGAGACCAGTATTTTGGGTGTTGCACATTCCAAAATGTATTCCAAATTCCTCCCGCGAATATCCTTGCAGCGCAAGAGGGTCAATCCAATCTGAAAGACTGCTCAGCCCAATCATCCAACTCAATGGTGAGGTGAGTGCAATGTTTACGAATGAATCGGTCGCACGTGCAGAAAGTTGACATGTACTCGATAACCTTTAGCTCGGTGCAAAGGCGGACACGCATTTGAAGTAACTGACGAATTCTGATATTTACTTTATATTTTAAACGACTTAATTTAAGTAACGCATGCGCCAATTAAATAAAATGTGTGCCATTAACCAATAATGCACAGTAATGTAATATTGAATTAGTAAGGTTTATATGGAGTGTATGTGTGTCTGTGTTATTTGTGTGCACGAAAGCCCTAGTTTTACTTTTCATCTTATGGTGTGTATAAAATAGTGTTATTAAAACGCTGGATTACCCTCATTTTCACGTTCTTTGCCATTTGAATGTTTGTGCAATACTCTCGATACCGCGTTCTAGTTCTTACCAAAAATCATTCAACTAGAAACTCAAAATTGTGTCACTGATGTAGTGTTTATTTAGTGTTCTATATTTACCTAGATAAAGTACGTACCTATGCGAAATTGTTATCACATAGCGCATACTTATTCATGATTTTCAAAATTTTGCATTTTCAAAATCATTACCTCAGTGACTGCTGCGTGATGAAGTAATCCCCAAGCCCCAGCGTCTGACTGACTTAAGCAATAAAAATGAAATCCCGTAGCAAATTTATAACATAATTATTAGCATTTACATCACGAAATGTAGGTAGGTAATTAAAGTTTACACTTCTCTACTGCTCAATGTCATTGAAAAACGTAGGTAGTTCGCTGACGTCTTTTAAGTTCAACATTTCGTTACATGTTTACATTTTCCTTACGCTCGTCTGTCCTCAGTTACGGATAATGACCTATTTTTCCTTTCAATTGTCAAGCTCGACTTTTTATGAATTCATTGAATTTTATGAGGTATGTCCTTTATATTCATTCCAAATTACGCATACACTTCCCCAATTTTATTCTGGAAATGCATTGTTAATGTATAATAGTCCAATTTCCAAAAACGCAATAGGCGCATATAAAGATGAAATTAGTGTTATCAGAAGTTAAGTAACTTTCTTCCTAAATTATATATAGAAAATTTCGTAATGTTTACAATATCAATTTGACGATAATTATTATGTCTGCTATTTTAATTATCTGGGCACATGGGGGCAAAAGCGTTTGCAGCATGTTACCACTGTGTATAAGACTCTACTAGACAGTTTCAGTAATGGACATAAACATGACTGATAGATACAGGCAAGCCCTTATGAAAAAAAGGTCATAATGTGTCTACGGGTATTGAAATAAATAAGTAATATATCGTTAAGTTGTAGATATACATTGACTAACAACTTATTTTTAAAAATGGTCTCTGCGAGATATGTAGTGATATGTTTCTAAAAACCCAAAATACCTACATTAACTTCTTTCCACATTTATCTCACCTGTATCACCACTAGTTGCCAGTCGGTAGCTTAAGAGCCTCTAGCTAGAGGTTTTTAGTCCTTAAACTCGTAGAGTTTTTAAAAACCTCAATCAGTATATACAGATTTTCCTCGCATTTTCGAAGGTTGTCAAGAGTCTACAAAAAGCTGAAAGGGTCTTTTTAATACGGTTTAAAGTATTTAAGCTTAAAGAATCGTTAAGGGCATTTAGGAGTCTCTAAATGGTTTACGTGTTTAAAAGTCTCAACGGATCTCTAAAATTCTGAAGGTTCTTAAACATTTTTTAACAGCTTCTAAGAACACTTGAGAACTTCTATAAGTTGGAAAGTGTGTTTAAAAATCTTTAAGAACTTTAAGAGTTCGCTCGTCCTGCACCACGGTTGCAGATGTTGGCAGAGCTTGCCCCCCAGATTCTCCCTCTAGTTTTCATGTGTAAGACCTGAACCAGTCGGCAATCAAATTTGTAGGTTGGGTGCCAATTTCTTGCTTTTTGAGTGTTTCCAAATAGATGGGCCAAATAGGCGTGACAGCCGTCAATTTCTCTATACCTATAGGCCTTTGACAAAAGTCTACTCCCGCATTGCTTTCAAAAACTAAACCTACTTCAATATAAGTATTTATTATACAAGGGAAAAATATAAGTACTAGTTTTTAGCTGGAGGTTGTGTTGTCTCCCGACGCGAAGCGGAGGGAGATAAAAAACCCGAGAGCTAAAATCTAACATTTTTACGCGACCAATTACAAAAAAATGGACGGCCCTGTCCTCTATGCGGAAATTTTTCGAATCGTATTGTAGGGGTAGGTAATTATTAATGATTTTTCTCAGGTGTACTTTTTTCACACCATTTCCCTCCCGCTTCTCCCTCTAAAGATAAGATTAGTAGATGGCGCTTTTGTGCTCCTGCGTTCATTCGGAAATGCAAAAGACTAAATGACCATCATCTAACGGAAGAGCAAAATTGCGATGTGTCATTGTATCTTACCTTCCACAAATCCACACACGATGCCTCCACCATAAATTCAATGTCTCCACCAACAGCACGGTACTAAAATCATGTAAAGTGAGGCGACGCTACCGAGCAATGCGTTCCATCTTGAAAAAATTCCTTGAGGAGAAGTTATAAGTTAATAGTCTTGTAATTGCATATAAGAAAGGCGTCCGTACCGTGTTTTTACAGTTCAATTATATCTCCAACTTCCCGCTTGCACTAGACGAGAATTTTCCAGTGGCAAAACGGTCTAATTGTAATATCATAATATGAGGTGGCAAAGCTGACACCATTTTTCCTTATCATTAAAACGAAGTGAGGCGGCAAGGTGGCGCAGCCGTCGATGTCGAAGTATCCTCACTGTTGGTCAACTTCATACGAAACGAATCCGTTCCTGCAGAGTCTTAAAATGAGGTCTTATTTTAAATTTTTTAGGTTTCAATGCAAAAACAACCTATTTTATTACAAAACGAAATATTTCTTATATTTTCATCGCTATTCACAAGAGAAGAAGCCATAGAAACGTTGGATTTCTTATTTAATAGACCGTTAGGTGCAGTATCGTTAACCTAAACAAGTTAAAAAGTAATCGTAAACGATTTACATAAAGCGCATTTCCACTTGCATTCATTTCCCATTTGTAAGATGCAACTTCTGTTAAAGTCGTAAAAATCTGGCCACAGATATGAAAGATAGGTAGCGTTGTACATGAGCAATCCATTTTTGACATGCTATTTCAATTATAAAGAAGAATTTCATTTCAATGCTTTTCTAAATAAGAAAGTTAGAACTGCGCATGCGCAAACTTAAATTTTGAAACTAATGTTAGATTTTCCTTTGTTCCAAGCGCCAAAGTATCAAATTTCACTTAAATGCTTCCATAGATAAAAAAAAGTTGGCACTGCGCATGGGCAAAATAAAATTTTTAAACTGGCGCTAAATTTTCCTTTATTCCAAGCACCTATGTATCAAATTTCATTTAAATGCTTCCATACATAAAAAAGTTGACACTGCGCATGCGCAAAACCAAATTTTGAAATTGGCGTTTGATTTTTCTTTATTCCAAGCGCCTATGTATCAAATTTCATTTAAATTCTTCCATAAATAAAAAAGTTGATACTGCGCATGCGCAAAACCAAATTTTGAAATTGGCGTTTGATTTTTCTTTATTCCAAGTGCCTATGTATTAAATTTCATTCAAATACTTTTATAAGAAAAAAAGTTTGCAATTCGGTTTATAAATGGTCGAGATGCGAAAAGGGCACTGTGAATTTTGAATCGATTCGACTCAACCTTTGGCATTGGGTATTATATGGCTAAGGCTATGCTCATATTGAATTTCATGCAATTCAGTTCATAACTAACGGAGATGTAAAAGCGATCGGACATTTCCAAACAAAATTATCGTTCACACGGACAGATAGAGGGACAGACAGGCAAAGGAACAGACGGACAGACCAACAGACAGACGACAGACAACAATACAGAATTATAAATGATCTCTAGGATGGTTAATAAACGGCAAAAGTGTAAAATTATGGAACATGTAAAAAACGGTTTGTTGGTTTTTTTACAATATCTTTTTAGCAATACACGCAGAAAAAATTCCTTCCTTGGTGCAAGACTCGACACAATAACGAACCAAATAGCGAAAAAAGTAGAACAATAGCTCTTAAGATAAAGAACTAGTAGCGTCGCAAAACGAGCGGACGGACGGACGGACGGACAGCCGAACGGACGGACGGACGGACAAAGTGGCCACAATAGCGCATTTTTTTTTGTGGAAATGCGCTAAAAATGTGAAATAGTGATTACCTACATAATACTAACGCACCATAAATTTTAAGTTTGCCATGTGTTCTCCTTGGATTGCAAGGGTCATTATGTATGTAACTCCCGAGTAACTCCTATATTTTAGCAATGAGTTGTTAAGCGAGACACTTACGCTTTCTCCCAATTATCCGATCGCTCGATGGCTTCATGTCCATCGATTTAAAAAAGAACGTATGGACCGGTTACGATGACATTTTGCAGGTGCATTCTTTATCAAATTTGTAGATAGTTCGTGAATTGGCAATGTATGCCCAAAAATAAGGAAGGCCTTTTTGACATCTCCGTTAGTTATGAACCGAATTGCATGAAATTCAAACCGGACATAGCCAGTACCATATCAGATGAATGTCACTTTTTTTGCTGCAAGGCTGCAACACAATAAAACCATCCCCGTACCAGTTATTTCATTGCAAAATTTGCTTGGACTGTTGTACTAGATCCACAGTACATACCAGATTTAGCAATGTACTCGTATGACTTCCATTCTCATCAAAACATATTCTTATGCTGTTACCATGGACCAACTATCATCATCGGCCAGAACCACGACGGACCTTCTACTTTCTCGATAATGTCATTTTTTTCTAGCTCCTGTAGATCTTGTTCTACTAAACTTCTCAAGTTGCGCCTTATCGTCAATAAACATTTTCAATTAGAAATTCTTCAGGTTTCCAATTTTGTGCTCACTTTCGAAAACCTTAAAACTACATTTTCGAATGGTATAGAAATTGCATTCGCATCGCCTAACTTCGATACTCCCAAATCTATTGATGGCTTCCGGACTAATATACGTAGAAACTACTTTCCGATTGCTAGAATATCTGTCAATTTTTTGTTGTTCTACTCAATTATCGTCTGGAACTCGTCTAATTTATTTAGACCATTTATGCTTCCAATTCTTATTATGCTTCCAATTCTCTGAAAAATTAATGTGCTTTAATTGCGATTATTTGTAGTTGCTCTGCCACAGCTTTTAAATAAATTAATTGCTGTTGTGGTGGTTGTACGGTCGTACTCCCTACCTCAGGTTCGACAGGGTACTAACCTCACTTTTAGAAAGGAAAACCCATAAACCCCTGACGACTAAGTTAGGTGGTCCTTTTCCTCAATGCCGAAAACTATCAACCTCACTTGAGGTTGATCCTTCACGGGTGTATGGATGACACTCCAGCTGCCTACATTTGCACAGTAATTTTGCACTACCACGCAACACTTGACCGCCACCAGGTCGTGAGGTTCCCCCGGGACTCGATCACAGCCTTGCTGAGTCTAGGATGTCCGTCTTCCTGCACTACCTTTAGGTGCAGTCTCCCAGATTTGCAACCACCTCCTTTAACCATTAATGGGAATGTTCTCGCACGATATTCTTATTTGATTTACTCAATGCAGTTTCTTTTTTGCTCCGGTCGGACGCTCGGACCCTCCTACGGCGCAAAGCCAATTAATTACAGTAAAGATTGCGGTTCCGATTTTCATTAGGTTCTAGTACCGGTGTCAGTGCATTTCGGTTGCGGTTCTAATCCTGATTGCAAGCCGCTAACGTGACGTAAAAATCCGTTTATTGACACTGAAAATCAATCATTAGACTGTGTTCAAGACCTCAAACAACAACATAGGTACCGATCAAATAATATTAAAATCTTTTCGATCAGATACGATTTAAAATGTCAAGTTTTTACTTTATTAATAAAAATTAATAGTTGTGTTTAATTAAAAAATCCGCATAATCAAGATCTTTTGAAATTATGGGATTGAGATTATCTCTTCACCGCAAAACCTTACGCCAAAGAAGGTGTTGATATTATCATTAATTAAAAGAACGTTTGTCAATTAAATGGGCGTATACCTGAGGGCATAATTAATTCTTTGCCAAGTTAAACTGGATTTTCATAAAAATTTACATTACCATTGACAAGTTCTGGCGGTCGCAATGCAACACTTTTCCGTGAATTGGTCAGTTTTAGTAAGCGCTACCTACCAAAAACGCATGCGGGTACCTATTGTTTATTGGAATTCATGTTTCATGTCATCATCATCGCAATCACCGTCTACGTTTTTACTATTCATACTTCATAGGTATGGCTATCGCGTACAGTTTTTATTTTCTGAGCACGATTCAATTGGATCGCCCTTAGACAATGCAGGACGGATGTTTGTATCCAAATAGTGAGTCAGATTTTCATTTCTCTCCCATAGTTAAGGTACCTATAAGGAAATGAAAGCCCCATACTAGACGCTCGAAACTGAATCTATTGCCACATAGTTTTTAAATGACACTATTATTTATATAATGTGAGATTTAATTAAAATATTTAAATGTTAATTCAGACCATTATGCATACGACTGATTTTATCGTTCCATTATTTTTGTAATTCTCAAGACAACCAGATCGAGATTGCGTTTTTTTAAAGTAATTTTATTACCTTATTACCTAGACCTAAAGTATATCGATATAACTTGCTTACGTCTTTTGCTTTAACCGCAGCATATGTGTAATCCGTAATTTTGTTGATAACGTTTCATACTTACATATTCCATACAATCACCTAGCATGTATTTATTCTGTTTATCGCTGCTTATTAAATACAAGGGATACGTTCACGTTTTCACCTCCATTCTCATCTGAGCTTTGTCACTTTGTACATGTAAGTAATTTTTTCTTTATTTTATTTTAGATAAGAAATGGGTTAATGGGCGAAGTTCCCGTACATTAATGGAGTGGTAAGTCATAAAATTTTTATATCTTTAATGTACTGCATACTGGGACAAGTACACCGATCATTTTTGACGATGTTTTACCACTTATCGGTGTAAAAAGTGTCAGGTATTGTGACGTCAATTATGTTAACTTTTACTTATTTATAACGCAAGTGCAAATAGTATAAAGTGTATCCATTTCTATTTTCTACTCAGTCAGCAAATAGGATTAATCTCTTACTAATGCCAATGCTAATAGTGAATTAACCTCAAAAACATGTAGAAATGATAATCCTCTTCATAGTTAGTGTTCTAGTTACCTATGGTGTCCCAAATGGCATATGTTACAAAAAGATGCAACAAGCGCGTTTTTTGGACGTCCCTTTGCGCATATTTTGTTATAATAAGATACTGTCACGTTCTCGCTTTTAAAACAAAACCTATTTATTTATATTTATTTGCATAATAGACAATATACTTATGTAAAATATTTAAGAGCTAGCAGAAGTTTTCATTAGGTAATTTATGTCAGCCACAAATGTAATTCATATACATTATCATTTTACTAGTATTCATATACAGTACCCTAAAGACCTATCTCCTTTTAAATTATTCTAATAAAATTCCAAACCCAACCAAGCAGAATTATGTGCAAAAAGACAAAGAGGGAATAGTACCCTGACAATATTACAAAATACTCTGCATCGTCTTGAATATAGGATTTGTCGTACATGTAAAGACACAATAGAAGACGAGCTTTCGGAAAGATAGATATCAAATTATTTCTGCATTTTAATTTTAATACTGATTTCATCACTCCCGCACACAATAACAGACTGCAGAGCGGTTCGTCTGTGAGCTGAGAATATAGAGTATAGTCTCAAGAGCAGGGTAATGATATAAACGGAATCACTGAACAGAAAATCGAAAAAATAAAAGTTTATAGTCCTAGAATCTGCGGTAGAACATTCTAAAGGAATCCTTACTGATGGTTTTTTTTTAAATGATTGCGAAGAATCTGCCAGGATCTAACAAAAGTTTTCCAATGTCTTTTATTTAAAAGCTATGATTTAGAATATCGTATCCAAATTATGATAAATATATTCAACTAGTAACTAAGATACGAAGAATCGCATACGATTTTCAGTAGGGGACACTCGGCTCGCTTTCGGAAACACGACTAATTAGTCCGGCTTATATTCAATACTCGTACCACTAATCCTTGAACTTGTAGAAATCGAAATTCTTTTCTTCTCGAGTTAGACGAGGAACAGACTGACAGACGAACAAAACCATCGCATAAGGGAATTTCTTTCGTAAAATCCTCTAAAAATGTTTCCAGTTTATGGTCGAACACATTTTATACTTAAAAACACTTCAGTGATTCAAAGAAATGAATACAATCGAAGTAAAAACTGAGAGTGTATAACAAAAATTTCTTAAACAGTAATTTCTGAGCGCAAACGAAAATTTAAACTTTATGTACTGCCAATTTTATTTCCAAAATTTCATTTTTGTTCCTGTTAAAGGTAATTTTGTAGCACATTGCTAATTGTGAATTCCAAATTCAATGCCTTTAGAGTAGGGTGGCAACCCCTACATTTTTAAATGAGAAGTAGGGGCTTCTGATACATCATTTGAAAGATCTTTTAATTTTCTATGGAACCATATCAATAATTTTAAGTGACTGATGTATGTAAACTGTCAAATATAGGCGAGCAACGAACTCATTCCGCACTTTATCAAGAATGTCCGGAGTTATTTGTGCGATCTTAAACCGTATGTGTCACCATAAAAAGAAATCAGGATGAGTGAGATCTGGCGACCTGGGTAGCCACCCGATTGATCCGTTTCGCCCAATCCATCTATCTGGGAAAACCCTGTCCAAGTAGTTTCTTACCTAGATCGCATAGTGTGGGAGCGCAGCCACAGATTGTTATTTTTTTACGGTTTAAATACATCACTTAAGTACTTAAAATTATTGGTATGGTTGAATAGAGAATTAAAAGAACTTTTAAATGCTGTATCCTCTACCTCCTATTTAAAAATTTGGGGGTATTAAATTTAGGGATGAAATTTTTACACATTATGATGTATTTACAATTATTAAACTTTCTATGGTAATGGAAATTTTATTAACTAATTTGTTTCAATCGATCGTTTGTACGTGGTACACTGTTTGCAGACTCTTGGTGGATTTCTTTCTTTTAAGCATTTATGTAATAGGTCAATGATTATTGTCGAATATAGTAATTGCACCCTACAAGTTCTTGATGCGTGGAATTTAAGCTTTAAAATGTTTGATTGGCAACGTATTGAAATTTGGAATGATTTGATAGGACAAACCTATAAAATTGGCACTTTGTGTCCTTGATGCCCCTCAAGACGGAGGCTTTCATTCGATGTTAGACCCTCCAAATCTGGCGAATTCGAGGGCGAATTATTACGAGTTTACATGCTTTTTGCGCTGAAAGTAGTTTGTTTTTGTTTGGTTTTTTTACCTTGTCACTTCACATATTTTAAGCGTGGTGAAATATTGTCGAGGAGTAATGACTGTAGGACTTCAAAATACACGATTTTTCTCATTTTTTTAATATCTCGGATTCTTCAATTCCTTTTAAATAATGCAGATTATCTGGATATTTTGTTTCAAATTTTTCCAACCATTCTATTTAGAATGTTGGAATTATTCAAAACCATTCATTCCTTTGGTATCTGTATCTTTTGCAATTTTTTCATTTCGTTAAATTCCTCAAACCCTTTCGCACTCAAAGGTTTTTTTGTTTTGTTCATTTTTCAGATTCTTATATGATGATTCTTTGGGTTTTTCAATTTCTTCGAATCCTTTGTTGCTTGCGATTCTTCATATTATTCAAATTCTTTCGATTCTTCAGTTTATTCCGATTGACCAGGCACTATATATTATCATATTCTATTTGTCATTTTTCCCAGAGTCAGTTCACTCTAGTTTTAAATACTTCAGAATTAATTTTTCTGATTTTCATCTTTTTTCGACTCCTTGGCATTCCCCTTTTCTCTGAATTCTTCCATTTCTTACAATTCTTTCGAATTTGTGAATTCCACTTCTTCGCAATCTTCAAATTCTGCAGATTCTTCCAGAATTTCAAATTCATAAAGTTCTTCACATTTTTAAGATTTCACTCAAATTTTAGATCTTTGGATACTTCAAATTCTTTTATTTCTTCTCCTTGTACTTTGAATTTTTTGCATTTTGTTGGTCAGTTCAGAACTTAAAACTACAGAGTGCATCATAATATAGAAAATTGGACAGTTTCTTCTTACTTTGACACACTTGCGCATGTTGCATCCGTTTAGCCAAAAATGAGAGAACAGACAGGCATCATCGATATTTTGTTTGATTTGGATTTGGTGCTTTAAGAAGCCGTATTTCTGTAAAAAAAAGTGGGGGGGGGGAGGGGCATTTTTACCCCAATTACTAAAGTGCGCGTGGTAGAAAAACGCTTGGACTTATGTTTTAGTTCGGCATTTTTTCCAAGAAAAACTGTGTACAGGGCGTGTCATGTGACAGTAACCTTATTTTAAATACTCACCCTGTACATTATCAAATGTTTGGAATCTTCATAGTAAGAGATTCTAAGAATACTTTGATTCGATTCCAATAATTTTGAAGATTTTAGATATTGTAAAAATCCTAAGAAGACCGTAGCAAGATTCCGACAAGATTGTAATATTCCTAAAATTCTTTGTAATCAAGGAACATTCTAAAATTAATCTAAGAGAACTCTACGAAGGTTCTGTGGCGAATCTAACAATCGGAAAAAATTCCAAAATAATTGTAAGATTTAGGAATGTTATAAGAATTCAAAATATTCTAATAGTTCTATATAGATTTTAAAAAAATTCGGAGACCTAAATATTGTAAAAGGAGGATGGTAAAAAAATCTACAGCAATTTCAAGAAGCCTTTTAGAAGATTTTGTATTTCTAGGAAGATTCTAAATTGTGAATGTTCTAAAAATATATGCTATTCTGAAAACTCTAAGACTACTAAATTTGTTGACGTAATTGTCGTAAAAAACATCTAACACTTGCGAGAAATTCTAAGGGTTTGGGATCTCGGCATCGGTTCTCGTAGGGAGTTACCAAATTTCTTGTTAGGTACCTACCCCTCGCTAATCTTAATTAGGTACTGGACTTTGACAACTTTTCCTTTCTTGTGAAATTATCAATTATCTAAAAGTGGTTCGTTTTGAACTGAATGGGCCAAAAAGAAAGTAAGGCTGCAACAATTCACGTATGCCAGAATTGATATAGGTATATCTAGCAAAATTTATTTAAATTTTGTTTAACAATCAATATATTGGTAAATGGTAACGTTAAAAGCAATAGGTCTAAATGTTTGCAACCTGAGAGGTGCAATAAAAAAAATGAACTTGGTCTCTTAAAGTAATGGTTTTAGAAGTGTAACATGTGTTACTTATTTTAGACATTATGTTCTACAAGATGTGTTCTATCCGTAATGCAATTGGTAACCTTGTTTAAGTTATCTTGACCTCAATACATTCAACTATCATCAGGTTCCCAGTGTACCGTACCCACTACAGCAGTCTAAGAAAACTCTTTGTAATTTGGTTTCGTTCTTTTAGCCTCAAAAATGAATTTGAATTACTAGACCTAATTGCAGGCACTCAAGAATGACCACTCTTAATAATTATTCATCCATACCGGCCCGCAAACCATCCATATTATTTATCGGTAGCCGGTCGAGTAGCTGGGGGATCCTTAAAAATAAAATTGCATGTTTGAAATTTGCTTTACCTGATATTCCATAGTGGTATGTATAGTTTGGCCAAAAATCAAATTCGGCGATGTATGAAGTAATACCGATACGTATATTTGGTTGCATAAGTCTGGGTACCGTTCTCGCGGTTACTTCAAGAACACCTATAAAAAGGCGATTAAAGCAGACCCTGAAATTAATGAAAGAAAAACAAAAACAAACATTCTTGAATGAGTGGACCTCGTTTGATTAATTAAGTGAGT